AGAGACTGTCAGAAGTAGTCCTATGTCCTGTGTGCCAGTCTGAAAGACAGATATGCCAGAGAAGATCCAGCCCACTGCAATTCCATCTATACTGGGATGTGACTAAAATTAGTTCATGTTAAGAATAGGGTTACAAGTTGCTTAGCTCTGCACACACAAAATTCATAAGATTCTTCCTCATGAGTGAGACTGACATACCCTTACTTGGTCACACAAATTCAGGGGATATGGGTGCCTGTGTCTTACCTAAAATCCTGCTATTTGTGAAATTCAGCTGAATGCATATCAAACATCTGACTCAGATCAGAACTGAAAAAAAAACCAAAACAAAACAACACAACACAACAAAACAAAAAAACCCACAAAAACTCCCCAAACCCCCAAAACCAACCAAACAGAAAACAACCAAAACCAAGACCAAAACCACAAATTTGAATGTTGTTTAGGTTCAGAATTAAGGCCTATAAATGTATTTGTTTGAAGTCACAGGATGTGTCTGACCTGCCATTGTGATCAATAAAAGTGAAACCGTGATCAGCTGTTTCTAGTACAGAAGACTTAGGGTGCATTTTGCTTAAGTAAACATCAGTATCTAGTTTCGTCTGCAGGGCCCCAGTGTTTCTTCTCATTCAGGATATGTCCATTTTATCTGCTGTTCTCCTGTGCATCTATTGAATAAGTCTCAACATCAATTGTCTTGTGAGGCACAAGTTCAGGCAGTCAAACTGAGTGCCCAGAGGCTGAACCTCTATGGGGGCTTCAGCAACTGCAGTGAAGACTCAGGCAGTCAGTGCAACCATAAGTAGAGAGTGTTCCTCTAGACTTTGATACTGGCATTCTCCTATATTTACAAAGAAGTTCAGGACAGTGACTAACTTCAACAGGAGTAGAATCATTAATGTTGGAAAAGACCTCTAAGGTCATCGAGTCCAGCCATTAAGCCAGCACCACCATGTTCACCGCTAAACCATATTCCCAAGTGCCACATCCATGTGTTGTTTAACACTTGAGGGACGGTGATTCCACTGCTTCCCTGGGGAGCCTGTTCCAATATCTGCCCACCCTTTCAGTGAAGAAATTTTCCTAATATCCAATCTAAACCTCCCCTGGCACAACTTGAGGCCATTTGCTCTTGTACTGGCACTTGGTACCTTACCTTTCATGTGGAGGTCTAAGGGTTCATACAGACAAGAGAAATCTTGCTTTTGAGTCTTCATCTCTAGACAGGATCTGATATTACAATGCAGTCAGTACAAGAAAGATTCCTCACCACAGTGACAGTAATGACCTCGATCCTGGATTGAGAGGATGAATCTTAAAGTCTTTCGAACTGCCTAAAATCCAATTGCTTGGGCTCTTTCTAAACAGGGACACTGAGGAAAATCAATCCAAATACACTAAAGGTGTAAATTTAAAGTGTTAAAACTCACTCTTAGTGTAAGCGTAAAGATAATTTAATACTGAATAAGGGGATTCTCAAAGCTTAATGAGGTTTTGATAATCCACTTAAAGGAGTGAACAAACCCCTAATCTTTTGTCATAAATTCACTATTGGTCTTCTTGTTTGCATAAGTTTTATAAAGCTCATGGGGTCAATGCATCAAATAATGTCCACTACCTGCTACTCAGCAACACTGTTACAGTAAAGCTAGATGAGAACATTGCTGACTTTTTTTTTGAGACAACGGCAAACTACTGTCACATTTGAGGCTCTCCATATTTTCCGTGGTTTGATTTAAAAAAAAAGAAAGTCATATATTTTATTTACATGCTTTTTCCCCCTGAGTTGCCAGCCCTTTCTAAATCCCTGACAGTTCCTTAAGACTGAACATTGCCTCTCCCCACTTGTGATGCAGAAGCAGGAGCTTAATCTCAGGCCAGTATCATAACGATGCAGAGTTTAGTCTCATTAAATGCAGGACCTGTTCCCATTCCCATTAGAGCTTGGTGTTTAGCAGAAGTATCAAGAAAACACAGGACAAGGCATCATTTGTTTCATCCTCACGAGAGGTTTTGAACCCAATTTTCCCTCTTGCTCAGAGTGCCCGACTCAGCAGGTTTTTTTACCCTTCAGGAATCAGGAGATACTCAGTGCTAAGTCTATCTGTGTTGAATTAACACATGCAGAGAAAAGGCGCTCTGTTTTGTGAAGCCAGGGGTTAACGGGGAATACGAACGCCTCGGTAAAACCTCCACAAATCTGGAGGTTTTTTTGCCGGTGGGCAGCGCAGGGCCCGTGTCCCGCCGTGCCGCCGCGGGGCCAGGAGAGGGAGCCGGCGGCCCCCTCAGCCCGCCCGGCCCCGCCCGCCCTGCGCCGCCCGGCCGGGGGTCCCGGAGGGTCCCGGGGGGGTCCCGGGAAGGTCCTGGCGGTCCCCCCGCAAGGGTGGGGAGCGCAGGAACGGGGCAGGGGGCCTGCGGTTCGGACAGACGGTCGGCTGCGGAGATTCGGCTGCGGACATGGCGGGCTGTCAGGAAGGGACAGGATCCACCTGGACGGGGCAGCAGAGCTATCGTTGTCCATAGGCTGGCCAGGATGGTTTGTAGGGATTTACACTGAGAGTGACTGGGAGAGGAGGAGGGGAGGTGAAGAGAAGAAAGAGAAGGCCGACAGTGAAGTGCAGGGGTTGTGGACTGGCTTTGTATCCCATCCCTAGAGTTCAAGACCAGGATGGGTGGGGCTCTGAGCAACCTGGGTGGCATTCCTGCCCACGGCAGGGCCTTTGGAACTAGATAATCTTTAAATCCCTCCTAACCCAAACCATTCTATGATTCTATGATTTTGAAACAAAGGATGCAGGGTGATAGGGGCAGGGGACACGTTGTAAATAACAAAAGAGGGTGGAAGTGCCCTGCCTGCAGCACAGGCATATCCATGCTGAGCAGGTGGCACACAGGGAAGCTCTCATGCCCTTCCTGGGAAATCAGCATAAGAAAGGCTGTATCCCAAGTGCCTACACCCAGCAGCACCGGGAGCAAGCAAGGCTGTGGTTTGGCTGCAGTCATACACAAGTGGTGGGATCGCTCACATTGGTGGAGTGCTGCAGTGGATGGGTATCAGCTCTTAAGAAGGGCAGAGTGGGATGATGAGGAGGACGAGCTGCCCTTTATGTATGAGAGAAGCAGGAATGTACAGAGCTCTACCTGCAGACAGGTGATGACTCAGCTGAGAACCTTTTTAAAACAACTGGAAGAAGCCTCAAGGTTGTCCTTGTGGGAGATGTTAACCACTGTATTATCTGCTGAAGGGACAATACAGTACGTTCCTTGTAGTAGTGAGGAACACAAAGCTGGACATAGCACTCCAAGTATGGCCTCAGCAAAGCTGAATAAAGGGGCAGGATCACCTCCCTCGACTTGCTGGCAAGACTTTCCCTAATGCAGGCCAGAATACCATCACTATTCTTTGCTGCAAGGGCACATTGCTGGATCACGTTCAATCTGGTGTCCACCAGGACCTGCATGTCCTTCTCTGCAGAGAAGCTTTCCATCTGGGTGGGTGGCCCACAGCACATACTGGTTCATGGGGTTGTTTCTCCTCAGGTGCAGGACTTCTTGTTGAACTTCAGGAGGTTTGTGTCAGCCTATTTCTCCAGCTTGTTGGGGTCTCTCTTGATGGCAACACGACCCTCTTGTGTATCAGCAGATACTGCTGACTTGCTGAGGGCACACTCAGTCTGCTGTATTTGACCCTCCACTGGGGAGGAACTGGATGATCTTCACAGGTGCCTTCCACGTTCTGTGATACTGTGATTCTGTGACGCTCAGCAGTTTTCATAACCCAAGTAAACTACCACAATGAATAAAAAAGGGAGAAAAAAATAGCTGGTATGAATGCAACACTGCATGAGTACAATCAATATTCATCAAACAGAAAAAGCAAAAAATCAATAAGGTAAAAATTAAAGAGTAAAAGAAAAAGAATCTTTTTCAATAAACAAGCACAACTATCTCCACTGCCACAGACCATGGAGTCTTTCTCATTCCGTGCATGCTTTCATCTAATGGATCCACATATACAGGAGGCAGACTTAAGGCTGCAGTGGCAGTCATTTCATAGTTGTTAGGTGAGTTGTCTTTAAAATCTGGCGTTGTTTCCATATGGTGACTTTCCCGTTATGCATATAATAGGCACCTAATATATATATGCAAATTAATATCTATATATACACACATGTACATAAATGCATATATATGCATTCCCTCCTGGGAAGTGTAAATCTGCCCTCAGGGCTTAACAATAAATATTAATAAATTGCTATTGCTCTATCTGAGAGAACAAACATCTAGGAAATCAGAGGGAAATAGATAAGGCAGATATTTCAGTGTTAGTATGTAGTACATAGATGCTTCCATTACAGATTTTTGTTAAGACAAATAATGCTGATGAAGTTTAGAACTTGTCTTTTTCACAAGGTTTCTAGTGAGAATTCTAGTTTTCCCTTGCATGTTTGTAAGGAAATTAGACACAGAGAAGCTTCACCCAGGAAAGGGGAGGGGGGAGGGTAGCTATGGTGCCCTGCTATGGTGCCCTTCCCTTCCAGCTGCATCTAGGACCATAACAGGGTACAGAGATGGTGGGTGGTGTGGAGCTCCCTTCATCTACAGCTGTGGGGACTCTCCAGCCACCTGTAGGACCATGATGTGGTACCAAATGAAGCTATGGATATTTCCTTAAGCTTAGGTTCATGTCCTGGTACAAATTGCAGTGCTCTCCAGCTGAGTGCTGGAGGAGGGAGAAGACTGGCATGTGCTATGATTTGGTTGTGGCTCTGTCTGGGTCTGTGGCTGTCAAAGATAGAAGTATCAACAAATGGAGCATCTACCTTCTGTCAGCGCAGGAAGCCTCCCTGCCTGGGGCTTTGCCAGCCTCACACCAGGACTGTCCATCCCGTATTTCCCTGACAGTCACAAGGCATTCGTCCTGGGCCAATCATGTCACCGGCCTCACTATGAGAAAGACCCAGCACCAGCACTGTTACCCTTGTGACATGGCCACTACACTGCCAGGAGCTCATGTGAGGCCCAGCCCGTGGCCAGCTAGGGAAAGAGTATGGAGCTGTCTCTGCCTGTGGTTGTGGGAAGCTTCCAGATTGCTGTAAGACCAGGATGGGGTATCTGTCTGTTCTGTAGAGCCCGGCAACTCTTTGGCTGAGTGGTGGAGGAGAGAGAAGACAGGAGCGTGCTGTAGTCTGGTCACATCCCTGTCTGGATATCCCATCTGCAATACACAAGAGAAGCAAAGGAGGAGCAGCCTTCCTCCCCTGCCTTAGGCAGACCCTGGTTTCCTGCCCTCCCCACTTCTCCCTGCCTTCTTCTCTCAGCCCTAGTTCACCTGTGTCCTCCATGGCCATAGTGGGCTGGTGCAGGTACCCATCCAGGCACCACCACCATTTTACTCCCTGTGACATGGCCATGCCAGCACCAGGGCTGGAGCCCAGAGTTAGTGCTCTGTCACTCTGACATAACTATTATCTTGCTCCTTTTCTTGCAAGAAGAAACAAATGAAAATAATAACCAAACAAAAATGACTGGTAATGATGGGGAGGGAAATTAAATAGCTGGAAGAGCAGTTGAAGGAATTTCAGCTCAGCAAATTTTAACATGAATGAAAAGCTCCAGGTCGTACCCACTACAAAATTTTAAAATTCTTCATCTGAGATGTATGAGAATGAATGTTAATTCTGGAAGAAATATGCTTGTTGTCACACCTTTGGAATTAAAGATATCCAGTGCCAAATCCTGAACCCATGAGTGGCTGAGAGACTTGTGTCTTTCTTTCTCCCAGATGAACTGTAGATTCTTCTGGGAACTGTCCTGTACCACACACTTGGGTTAACCACTAGAACAAAATCCATAAATTAGCTTCCATAATGCTTCTACCACAGACCATTACACCCTCTGTAACTGGCAGGACCAGAGGCAGTGGGCACAAACTGAAACATGGAAGCCTCCATCTGAACCTAAGGAAACATGCCATTACTGTGAGGGTGATCCCAGCACTGGCCCAGGTTGCCCGGGGGGGGGGTGGGGGGGTGGAGTCTCCATCCTTTCAGATACTCAAGAGCCATGTAGATGCAGTTGAGGGCAATTGGCTTCAGGTGGTCCTCCTTGAGCAGGGGGGTTGGACCAGATGACCTGCAGGAGTCCTTTCCAACCTCAGCCATGCTGTGATTCTGTGGTATATATGTATATTGTAGATTTAAGCAACCAGAAACTTTCCATTATACATCCCTATATAATTTCCTCAAGTGTTTAACAGTTTACACTAAAAATTTCCATGCTTTGCCTTAAGATGGAAAATGTTTTCTAAAGTATTTCTGTTATTTGTGAACTCACTTATGCAAACATTTAACTGGAGTGCACTGGCTTTTTATGAGAGGGGGAAGATGGTGGAAGTAGTGTTAGGAAAGTTTTAGCAGTCATCAGTTTCCATGTTGTACTCTCTTACGAGGCTACGACAGCAACATGCATAGTTGTTACCATGCATTGGGTGTCAAATTAAATCCACTGTGGTTTAGGAATGATATTCTCCAATTTAGTAGTCCCACTAAAACCATACTGCCACTTGCTCCCCCCTTCCCCTGCCCCTTCCTGCTCCACTGGGATGGAGTTCAGAATTGGAGGCACAAAAGATGAAAATCAGCATTTAGATAAGAACAATTTACTGGAAACAGCAATGAGATAAGAAAACAGTAACAGCAACAATATTAATAACAAAAGGTATGAGACAAAGGAATGGGTCTTTCCCACCATGCTTTCTCCCCATGGAAAGGGATGCCCTTCTTCTCAGAAGTGAGAGAGAGTCCCTTGCCCCTATCCCTGGCAACGATGAGGTGGTATGGAATAACATTAGTGGCCATGCCCCTCAGCCACACGTCTTCTGGACTATTGCCCAAAATTAACCCTGTCCGTGGCCAAAACCAGGATACTGTTATCCCAGAGGTGCTACCACCATTGCTGAGGGGCTCAGCCTTGGCCAGTGGTGGGTCTGCCTTGGAGCCAAGTGGCATTAGCTCTGTTGAGCACAGGGGAAGTTTCTGAGCAGCTTCTTACAGAAGCCACCCTTATAGCCCCCCTCACCTACCAAAACCTTGTATAAAAATAAACATATAAATCCCTAACTTTTGTTAAATAAATCTCTATTGTTTTTATACTCAGGAAAAAAAAATAGCTGCAAATTAGCAGAAAACAGTGTTGATTCTGCTGCAGTATTAATCATTGCCACAACATATTCTGTCAAAGATAACAGAATTATGCTCCTGCAGTTTTACAGGTGGCAGGAGAAGTTATCTTCTGATCTCAGGTGATGCCAAAGGGTAGCATTTGGCCCTATTGTGGAGAACTGTCTCAGGATCTGTATATTCCAGACAGTTTATATAAATTTCCAGTGTACAAAAGTCAGAAATGTACACATAAAATTAGGCAAGGTGAATATTTCCTCAACATCTATTTTCTTTTTATTAATTGGTATACTCTGTTACAAAACCAAAGACTCACAGTGCCAGTTCTCTTGCATTTCTTCTGCAGTAAGTAGCTTGGTGCAGTGTTGCAGTGAAATGAGATGCCATAGCTAAGTGGTTAAGAAAATGTGCAATATATTCAGCAACATCAACCAGTGCCCTTGCTCTCTCTGAGTTCTTGTTATGAGAGTGTGTGCTTCCTTTTCCCTGACTAAACTAGCTAGGAAAAGCTTTCTTCTTCATTTCAGCTGGTGAATCAAAGAGGACTGAATTTTTTGCTAGCCACATTGTTCTTTTATCTGCCAGTGGCTACTGAAACTGGAAATACTATGCATCATAACACAGCAGGCCATATAGCCTGAGGTGAACATACAGCCACCACTGTGTGTCTGTGAATTGATTTTATTTCCATGCTCTCTTGAAGAGCTGACCTTATATCTGTCAGCTGCCAGAGACCTCGGGTGATAATGACTTGAACTTTGTGGGTTTCTTATTAAAAGCTTGTGGCACTCAGAATGTCTCTTTGCATTTAATTGATATTTTGTCAAATTTCTTCCATCAAATATTGCTGATTTGTCTTACTGAATTGGCTACTGATGCAAAAACACTGTTACAAAAACAAAACCAAAATGTGTGGTGGTATCTTCAGTACTGTGTGTGTATTGAGTGATCTGGTATCTGGTAGCATGCATCATAGATATCAGTGAAAGTCTCTTTGATCTGGCTATACTGATAAATAAAACAAGGCCAGAGACAACTGTCATACTGCTATGGCCCAAGGGTCTCAGGGGTATGTTCTGGCCCCTGTAACTTATCTGGGCTTTGTAAAAGAACTCATTTTTTTATAATTAGTTTCTTTTTTTGCTTGTAGGGTGTGAAAGGACGTGAAGACTGTTATCTACCAGAGTGATGTTTTTATAATGAAGCTGTGGGAATGTGTTGCATGAAGTGCCTTGTGGCAAGAGGAGTGTTTGAGGGTGCAGCGTTGACTGCTGCAAAGTTAAGAGTGTGTAGGTTGGGGGATACCCAAACCACTGCATTCTTTTCCACATGGTCTTTTGGGAACAGTCTTGGCACAAGTTATCCACTGAACTGTGCCCAGTCATTGTCTCAGAGAACTCGAACTGGGGCAGGCAAAAACCCTGCCAGGGAATATGCTACCAATTTTGCACTGCAGAAGACTAGCGGTCCCAGCCAGTGCTCAAAGTCGCTGCTCGGCACTTTTTCATTTAACAGCATAGATATGTCCTGTGTTTTAAAGAATGTTTTTTCAGAAATATTATGGGATTAAGTTATAAAAAAATTCTCTTACATCTAACTTTTCCCAGTCCCCCACAGACTATGTATGAAGCCTTCTGATTTTTGCATTGTTTTCTACAGTGCAGAACTGTGTCAGCATTGCCACTTCAACTCAAACCAGTAGTGTACTTGCTCTTTGCTAATGGCTATTATTATTTTGGCCATTTTTCCCTTGAACAATTCAACTGTCCTTGCTGTTTGGAGGCATTTCTCCAGATCTGTCTCCCTCAAGGATGCCTCCTGCAAACTGGACTCTTTTGTCCCAGAGACAATCCTGAGTTCAGTTATGGGATATTTAATGTCTATAAAGTTGCACACATTGTTTTCAGTTCTGAATATGTGTTCAATCTTTATTCAGATTTGCAAATTTCTGGATAATATGAAAGAAAACAACAAAGCAAAGCGAAATATTCTAGTAGTTCTCACTTCTGTTGTCATGGTATAACTTTTTGTAATACAAATGGAAGATAAATAGACCTCAGACAGCTTCTATCTTTTACTGTAAATGTTTTCACAGGACAGCTGTGATAGAAAGGTATTAGGCTTACTATAACTAGCAAATGCAATTTCCAGTTACTAATTCTAATTATGAGATACAAAAATCTGAATGTATTTTGCAGGAAATGCGGAATCAGTAATAGTTGTTTCAACCACAACAGTGCAGTAGTGCCTTTATCTACTGATTAAAAAGTGATGCAGATTTACGTAAATACAATTTACCACCTTTATACACAAATACATACATAATTAAGTAAAGTATTGGAATACTTCCACTGTAAGTACACATTTTAAAAAAAAAGTGTGGAAAATATTTACAAGGGATGATTTTTCTGAGGTATAGTAGTTACTGATGATATGACCTCTCTTTTAAAATTAGGAATATGAGTTTAGAAGAACATGCATATAAGATCAGGTTGATAGCACTGAATTTTATATATTCTGCATTTATATGTCTACTCCATATATGATGATAATTTTTCCCATATTTTTTCCATGAAATAGTGCTGTTACATCAATAAAAGACAAAAATTTTTAGTTATATGCATAGGTAGTAGGAATGAGATCCAGAGGCCAGACCCTGTAAATAACAATGCTGTGACCTAAGGCAGCCAGTAGATTCAGTAAGCAATTGATTAGTTGATATTTCTGTAGTCTCATTCTGTCTGGAGTTATCAAAAATCTTGCTCAGCTGCTCCATGCTTCAGGCATTGCTTATAACAGGAATGTCATTCACATATCTCTTATTTTACTTCAGATAGAATAGTTAAAAAAATTAGTTTCAATTTCAAATTTTTTTTCCCATGGCTTGCTGCTATTTTGCTTTTCTGATTTTTCTGTCTGAGTTAGGGTTTTGCTTGTCTATACAAAAAGAAGGGAAAACTCATTGTTTTGCTTAAAACTGCAAGAAGCTTTCTGGCACTTTCTACTTGCTTTCCTATTAAAGAGCCCTGGGGAAACCCTAAGGCTAATTTTTGACCATAACAACAAAAATTCTGCTTTTTACTGTAATAAAGCATGAGATTATCTTAGAAACTCATGATTCTGGGGATTTAGTCTTTAAGACTAAGCACTGAAGCTGAACTCAAGATAAAACTAATTCAGCTGATTTAGAATCAGCCCTGCCCTTCTAGAGCTGCAGAATAAGACCAGTAAGCTGAATGTTTTTTGCATATATGGTTTTGCATATATAGAATCATTTAGTTTATCTTTTGAAATGTCTTCATCATTATGAAAGAAACTGCAATTAGTATTTCAGAAAACTTCACAGATCAGCCACCTCGTCTCCCCACACTCATTGTGGTTTCCTTATCCTGTATGGGCTGTTTATGTTTCACTGACTCACTCCAAGCCCATTCTTATATATCAGGCTTTTCTACTGGAGAGGCTGAGCCTGAGAAACAGCTAAATGTGCATCCTTCTGATGTCAAATGTAAATGGGAGCGGTCTTACCTTGTTTACTCTTAACAAGTCTTGACAGTGGCCCCTCGAAATAAGACAAGGTTTTCTTAGTAAATGTGTTCGAGAAAAACTTGTTATGATTGACAACAGTGACAATACCCCGAAGGGATATCATACTGTAATGGAGCTCTTGCCTTCTTTTCACACAGAGCAGGAGTAATGTGTTCTGGGGCACCTTGTGGATGCTTCTCTCTTTCCAAATAACTTTTTTGTTTTGGTTTGTTTTTTTTCTGTTCCTCTGAGTTTCTAGAAAGCATAAAGGCTGTTAAAACCTGCTTTGGAGAGATTCCTGTGAGGTGCTAGAAAAAGTGTAATTGAGAAAGTTCTGTCACCTGCTCATTTGTCTTTTTCTCCTTTAATTAGAACAAAATTCCTACTTGCAGGTTTATCTTTTTCAATATACATTAGTCAGTTGCTTATTCTTGCAGTGTATTGTATCAATACATCATCATCAAAGGTGACAGCTGTGTGAATCTGTCACAATAAATATAGTAATAATTTTATTATTGTCTCTGTTGTTAGGATGTGTTCAGGGCAGGGCTGCAACATTTCTACTTCTGAAAAAATGTCAAACATGAAATGCCATATGACTAGTAAAAGCACTGCATACAGCGTATGTATGTGGATACGCTACATATATATGCTGCACAGACGTGTATTTATAGTAACGTACTGTAATTATGGCAAAAGTTCTGTCAGCATTTCCAGTGTAAACATCATTTTCAGGATTTATTATATAGCCATAGGATTAGATCCCAGATAGAATCTGGCAAATGAGGCCTCAGCCTGGGTAGCAAATTCTCCTACAGATTTCTTTTTAAAGAATTGCTTCATAATGTATACAAATGCAAACAGATACAGATGTTTGCAAAGTTTTTATTTGTGCTGCTGTGATTAAAAACTAGCACAGATTTAAGAAGTTTGCTTCAGAGAACTACCTAAGTTAAAAAAACTAAAAGGACCAAAAAAAAAAAAAAAAACCAACAATGACTCTTCTTACCCATCACAAATCTGCTCTTTTTTTCAGTGTTTCAGGGTTTTGGGTTTGTTTTTTTTTTTTTTGATACTGAGGAAATATCACGTCTACTGTTCTTTTTGTTGGTTGTTCCAGGCTTCCAGAGGACAGAGAACTGCAAGCGGACTGATGTCATCACCGAGCATGCCTTGGTGATGTTGTAATTGCATATTAGATCTGGTTTCATGAACCTCAACACTTTGCAGACATAGGGAATATGCTGTGTTCCTGTTGGAGCTTGTATTTATATGATCAGATTCTGTTTTATTCTGGTGTTCTCATAGCTGACGGAAAGACCCTTATTCAAGTGGACATGGCCTGTAAAAGAGTTTTACCCACTAGAACTCTTATCTGGTGAAATGCAGGTGATAATTTTTCTTCCTATTTTGACAGTTGCTGCACTTGCTCAGAGCAAGTGGAAAAAATATAGAGAATAATTTTCTGAGTATTAGCTATGCCATGGAGGGACAGTTCAGCCTTGCTTTCCACTGAGATGAGTCAACTGAAACCTGCTCTGACTACAGGGCAGATGAGCTCCATAATGTCTCTAACCTTTGTTCTGCAGGTGTGCAAACCTAAGGACCTCTTGGTGCACACCCAGTTCTTCATGGTTTTCTGCATGTTCTGAGGGAAACAAGATTGAACCTACTTGGAAAGAATTCTTTGAGCCCATTGCTTGGTTCAACACGAAGTGTTGTGTGCACATTTGGAGAGGAAAGAAATATCCAGTTGCTCTCAGGCTTTTCAGATATGGCTGGTCAGGTCAGGTAGACCCAGAAGCCCTTGATATCATGCAGCATACAGAGAGCCACTGGGGGAACTAAAGTCATAGCTTTAGGGACAGACAAAAACATTGCATGGTCACAACAGCAAGTCCAAATAAACAAGCAGTGTTTCCTTCCATCTTCTAGGCTGGTGTTATTCACAGCAAACATCAGTTCTTTCTATTCTCCTAACAGAGACCCTACTGACCCCTGCTCCTCCTCTTTTTGCTCCAGGGCAAGGTTATAGGGCTATTTGCTGATGGTTTTATTCTCACTTATTTTTCTCACCTTTAAGTAATTGTTTTTTCAGGTAGATAGTAGTTTTTTTTGCAATTATTTAGTAGATTAAAAAAGAATAATCAATTGCCATTCAGTTCTTGATAGACCAAATGACCTATCTCATCTAAAAACAGTATGGGGAAAATTTCATCTAAAATAAAGGCAGATGAATGAAGATTTTTCAAAAAAAAAATGACACAGGCCTGTTACATCGGGTACAGAGAAGAGCTACTAAATTGGCTAGAGGTCTGGAACACCTCTGCTATGAGGAAAGGCTGAGAGATTTGGATATGTTCAGACTGGAGAAGAGAAGGCTCCAGGGAGACCTTATTGTGGCCTTTTAGTATGTAAAGGGTGCTTATGATAAAGATGAAGAAGGACTTTTTACCATGACTTGTAGTGACAGGACAAGGAACAATGATTATAAATTGTAAGAGGGCATGTTTAGATTGCACATAAGAAAGAAATCTTTAATGCCAGGGTGGTGAGACACTGTAACAGATTTCCCAGAGAAGCTGTGGATGTGTCATCCCTGAAAATGTTCAAGGCCAGGTTCGATGAAGCCCTGAGCAACCTGATTTAGACGAAGGTATTCCTACCCATGGCAGGGAGATGGACTAGATGTTGTTCAAATGTCCCTTGCAGCCCAAATTATTCTATGATTCCAAAATGAAGAAAATCACAATTTTCATTATGAAATGCTGAAAATGAAAGATTCTGCTAATTGAACTTCTTAGTGAAGAAAAAATTAATAGATATTGAGGAATCATATCAAGTTCCTCAAATATTTTTGTTTCAGCAAGAAAAGGCTCCACCTAAACATTCCTATTACATAAATGACATTATGTTCTTATTTAGAAGAGTTGAAGTTTGAAACCAATAAGCTTTAACCAAATACAAATTTTATTCTCAATGTGGATAAAAAATTTTAAAAAGTAAAAAGTCAACAGAAATATGTCAAAAAAGATAATGCAAAGCTACAAGTGGGTATTTTCAGATTGATCTAAAAGTATTGTCAAGATTTCTATCCTCCTTACATACAATTATCTATAAAGAGAGAGAGGCATATAAGAGAGGTCATACTTTAAACTGGAGTTCTATGTAAACAAGGGCTTTTGAGACTGGCATGTTATTTTTGCTTTTGGTACTGATGGTAACTGATGGTTTACCAAGTGATAAACCAGTATTCCAACAGGAGCTAAGGTTTTGTGGAATGTCTATCTGATGGAGACTTGAAACACTAGAGGACAATATGAAAACTATCTTTACCATAAATATATATATACACACACAAATAAAAAAATCTCTCAAATCATCCTTCTTATTACCATGTTATGTGTAAATGTAATAATAATAGAATATATTAAGGTTCAAAATGTAGATTTTATAGAGAGTTTCCTTCATGCCATCTAATGCCCTGATAAGCTCTTTTTTTTTTTTAAGTTAAATTGAAAAAAAGGGACAGAAAGCACTGATCTCTTGTTTTACAAGCTTTTTAAAATGAAAGGTTTTCCTGTCATATAGCATGAGAAATCTAGGACCAATGCTCTTTAACTAAAAGCAACACCACAAATTTGCTCTGATTAGCTCAAGAAGAACAAACAAAGTATAGCTATGTTCTTGAGATTATAATCAAAGTTGTTCATGCTTTGAAACAGTAGCCAGGAACAAAACCACAAAACCACATTATTATGCATACAATAGAGATGTCTGTAAGGTGTGATTCATGGTGATTAGTCTCCATATTCCAAGTTAGGATCTTGAGGTCTGGTGTATTCGTTTATGCAATTATTATGAGTGGACAAGTGAAAGCTGAGCTTTCAGTTATTTTCCTCAAATCTGAACCCTCAATTTGTCAGCCATGGTGTGTGAACCAATTCCTTGCTATCTATACTAAGGTGCAGCAAGCCTTCAGTTTGGAAAAATTAAGGTGAATAAAGGTCATCAAATCTCTTTATCTGATTGTAGCCAAGAAAATTGCTGAAAGCAAGCAACTATGCTGCAGGCATATTGGTGATTTTTCACAATGCCATTGAGTAGAACCTTCAAATTCAGTGTAGTCGTAGATCATGGACCTCACTGCGCACACACACACGCACACACACATAAAAAAAAAAAGGAAAATCCAGATTTCAATGAGATTATTCCCTCACTGGGTAGTCAATGATTGAGGATTTGGTTTTCTTTGCAATTTCATCTTTTTAGTCTTTCAGTGCCTCCTAATTTGTAACCTGCCCCTGGTCTTGCTTTATTTTTATACATTTATTATTATTATTCTATTTATCTATACTTAAGCAGTATAAAAACAACCCCAGAAAAGCTCTAGATGCACATAAAATTAATTAGATTTACAATTCCAAATGATGGCCAGCAAACAACATAGCAATAATCCCATAGAGAGAACAAATTAACTCAGCTAGCCAATAAATCAGAACAAGAGAGCTGTGTGTTTTGTTTTTTTTTTTCCACCTCCAAGAAATAAAATCTGAACTTGTCCAAATGCTTTACTAAATAAATTGCTCTTCAAGGGTGCTCAGAAGGTCATGACGTTTGACTAAGTGGTTCATTTGGGTTTTTTTCCATAAAGGAAATTCTTAAACGCATCTCTAGTTTTTGTATATGTGATGTGTCTCAGTATGTATGACCTTGTCAGCTATTAAGACTGCAATTTCTCTGATGTCACTACTTCTATTTATCATGTTCCAGCCAAGAAAATAGCCATATATTTATTAATTGGTTGAATTGTTATTGATAGTTACAGTTGTGCTAATGGTGCCTGTTACCCTCTGCAAGACAGTGGGTGATGAGTAAGTGCATATTGCAGCTGGGAATGGGTGACCAAAAGCTAATGTTTTGTGTTAAAGCACAGGGCAAAAAATTTTTTTTTTCACTGTCTAATAATAATGTCATGTCATTGTCCCAGATAAGCTCTTGGGTGAAGGGACCATCATGTGCTTTATTCACCTAAGAAACAAGGTTCTGATCTGGTTAATACCTATATCCCAAATTTACCACATCTTGTTTTAGGATCTAAGCATCCTGCATCTCTTAAAAGCATACTGTCCTTCTGACATGGTCTCCCTCCCATTTCATATTGCAGAGTAGATAGAGAGGCACAGATATCTGCAGAATGTAACTCATACTTAATATGTGTCCAAATAGCAGCATTTTGGTCAATTCCTGTTTTATGCTAGGTGTTGGGAGTTAGAGAGAGGAGTCATGGCTTCCTTCAATGTTACTACAAATGAGAAAAAGTGTAATATGAGCCGTGGAAGGTAATGTAATGAACTTATCATATTTTTAGGTGGTTTAAGGCCTCATGGAATCATGGTGTCTTTCCCTATAATTCCTAAAATGAACATTTGAAAACAAAGAATTGAAAATAAAGGCAAAAATACCTCTTCACTGACCCCAGGCCTTCCTTTTTGATTCAAAAAAATTGTAGCAAATTTGAGAGACAAAATTTGCCAAGGTGAATAACAAAAAGTGAAAGCCAACACTGATGAACTCTTTTTCTGCCTGCATGGATGGACTGCTATCCAACCGCATCTTGAATGCGATTAAAAACATAATTTGACTTTGAAATCCAAACGTATCTAGCACCTTCCTCCCTAGAGGATCAAACCAGATGTGCCTTGTTTTCATCCTGCTGGCAGCTAAATGTAATTTCCTAGGTAGACATCCACAGAAATCCTGTGATATCTTAAAAAGTAAATTTCATCAGGGTAAACACAGCTCTAAAGCATTAGACCAATGAAATTTTAAACCTCATCTTGCAAAGTTATATTTCACAAAAGTGGAAAGCAGTTTTTATTCCTTTTTTGCTGCAAATTTTGTGAACATATGGTGTAATGTGGAAACATGGATAGTCAGAACAGTTAGCAGTTGCTGTGGTACTGCTGGCTTATTTCCACTTTACAAATTCATACGAAGCTAAAATATCACGCTGGTGACATATGCTTACCGGCTCTCCATTTACTGCCTGCAGCTATGGGCTCCTGTATTCTAATGGTAATTCTACAATCTGTTCACTGACAGCTCAGGGGGCCAGATGATATGCACACTACTGACAGGGACATCACTTTCATGAAACATTTACTTCTCTGCACCTGAATATTGGAGTAATCATATAGAGAGTCGACACACCATGAAATAGAGTTAGACTGAAGATTCTGAGAAGAAAATAGCAGACTGTCACTCAAAATAAAGTTCATTTTATACCCAGCAGAGCTAGGTTAAAAGACATTTCCATACACTGAAAATGCTTTCCATCTTTAAAGCTGCAGTTTCAAAGAAAAATGTTTCCCCTGTATTTTTCTTCAGCGGCTCAAGGGATAATTACACTCTGAGACTTACATTTGAGAAACTTGTACTTTCTTGTCCTGTCCTATTGAAATGAAGTCAGAATTACAGTACGTGGATGAGCACTGAAAATTGAATGCTACCACATTGCTAAAAGCACCACCAAACTACCCCCGAGTAACTTCATTTGCTGCCAGATTGGCTGTAAGGTTTTGAACACATGAAGGCCATTTGCATGAAG